CAGAAGGAGTTTAATTTTGTAATTCTTCTAGTACCAGGTTGACCGAGCTTTGCCCGGAGTGCATATGCTTTTTAAAGTTTTCAAGATTTGGATAGCTTTGAAAAAATATTTTGGGAAAAAAAAAAATGGGTTTCGATATCTGTTGTATATAGGGAAAGCATTGTTTAAGAACCTTCTCTTGGTACACATGAATGGTAATATTTTACCTTTTTACTAAAGAAAAAAATAAATAAATATGCGATTCAAAATAGGTGGCAACCCTATTAAAAATATTTTTGAATTAGGGATCTTTAAAGTAGAGCCTGTTTGATTTGTAAATAATGTCGAATAGGTGGCAACCTTATACGAGTCTAGATAGTGAGATAGTGCCTATTCAGATAACTTTAAAGTCCAAAATATTATCTGTGTACAAAATTTCATCAAAATCGTTAGAGCCGTTTCCGGGAACACTAAGGATATATATATAGTATATATACACGAATTGTTCGCTTAATGTAACAAGATAACTGAAATACATACTGTTGTTAAGCTGCCTTTACACGGGTCAATTTCAGTCGACTGAGAGATCGACCAGCCAAAACACATTTTACGATTGAATTGCCATTTACGCTAGTCGATTTTGGGTGAACGACAAAGTAAAGGCAGCTTTAAAAGTCAGCAATAATTTTCGAACTTCTTGCTATCAAATTTTTAACTAGCTCTGGTGGCTCGGCAATCTTCTCCAAGCAGCGAGCTTACACACAATCTTTAGTCAAATCACGAATTACAGTGAGTGAAGACTTAAAATGAGCATTGAATAACTAAACGTGTAAAGGGGTTATAAATGTGACCGTCCAAGTAAATTTGATTTGACTTGAGGCAGCACAGATATTTATATTTTGCAATTTATTAACATACATACATACATACATACATATACATATAAACAGATTTGGCATCTAATTTTTTCACCTGTGGAAAAAGTCTTATGATGAACCTATCAGTAATTTAACGGCTTAACTTACTTAAATTTATTTTTCACGCTTTTACAATTTTTGGGGATTTTTTTCGTTTCCTTCCAGAGAGCTAACAATCATTAAGCGTAAGTTTTAAATACTCCAAATAAATAATAAGTATTATTTTTCTTTGTATAGCGCGAGCGAAAGAAATTAGTTTTACGCTTTCGACTATAAGAAAAATTAAAAAACGATACAAAAATTTATGAGACTACTCAGCCATGTTCTGCAATTCATTTCCGAGGGAATTTCAACCAAAGCCACTTTGACTTCAAACTGAATGGAATTGAAATTCACTCGGAAGTGAATTGCAGATCCTGCCTGATTGTATTAAGTGTGAGTTTTTCATTTTAAGATAAGTTACAAAAATTAAAACTAATTTTAGAATCTATGTGTGTATTTAGGCTAGAACATACAAATTTAGTTTAAAGAAAGTTTATACACACAGATTTGCTTACGGCTAAGCAAGAAAGATTTTTTGTTCGTTAAATTCATGTGAAATAATGGTTTATATTTTTCTTCGATTAAGGACCATTTTCACTTTAAATTTTTGTATTTTCCCAAGTGTATGTCACCTTTACATTTAGGTATTTTTATTGCCATATTAATATTAAAACTGAACTGATTTTTTTATTATACAATGATTTTCACAAGATTTAATAAACAACTTTTTTAGTCACAAAAATGCTTTAATACAAATAATTTATATTTCAACGGAAAAACATTTATTTATTTATTATGTTTTCATACCATATGGAGGGGTTTCTAGCAACAAACTTTAAATTATCAGCAAACAAAATAAAACAAAAATACCTAAAAAAATGGCAAAACACACCACGCTCGAAAAAGGTAAAAAAACTAAATTATATGTATGTTATATTTTTAAAATTCTCATTTTTATTATAATAAAAAAAATTAAAAACTCAAAGCTGCTGTAACATAAAAAAATTAAATAAAAAACTACGAATATAATTTTAAAAGTTAAAAACGAAAGAGATATAAAAAAGTTACATGTGTACATATATACATATGCATTTAGTGTTTATAAACAGAAATTTGTTTTTACAATTTCAAAGGTATGAAAATGTAGACATAATCGAAAGAAAAATTATCGACTTAAAAATAGTTAAAAACAAAAAAAAATAATTAAAATAAATAAGTAAAAGGCCACAAATTATAGTGATTCGCGCTTACATTTATTTGATTGAAAAACTTAAATGGGAAATTAAGTGCTTCAATGAGTTTCCATAAAATAAAAATTTACTAAAAATGTAAAAGCACATAATCAGAAAAATTTTGAAACAAAATGTGTAAATAAAAATAAAAATAAAAATAAAGGAAATAAATAATCAGGATAAAATATAAATTCAATACACACCCCTATCGCGGGTGTCGACTAATAGTAGATAAACGACTCTTATTCGAGTATCGCTTTTCCATGGTATTGAGCACTACGATTTCTCTTTCAATAAGTGACTGTGAATAGTTTTTTTATCGCTCATTTTTCTACAACTATTTGTTTGTAGAAGGATGAGCGACTATAAACCATTCCCACGCACTTATTGAAAATTTTTGGAACCAAAATTCAATATCTCCCAAATTCTGGGCACGAAATGTGGTTTTTTGCGTTCCCGTACATTTGAACATTTTTCCATTTTTGAGAGCAAATATTTCGCTTACTCTCTAATTACCGGCTCCAGTCCGGGTTGTAGGGGAAATAACCTAATATATTGACTTAATGAGTTTTTACTTTAAGATACTCAAGAGCTTGTTTGCTTTTGTGAATTTCCTTCCCCTATTTCCACACTACATAGTACATGTTTGTAATTATAATCTCATGATTAGACACATAAATACACACATTTATTTATATTCATATATGTATATAGCTTAAAGTATACATAAATAGATCCACGTACTTGATATAGGAAACCTATGGAACTGAAGCATATGATAGCTAACCGTTATGAAGCGAACATGTGCTAAGTGGTAGTTAAATCATTTCAATATATAAATACTATGGCAAATTACAAAAATAGAAGCAAATATATTAAAATATAAATTTGCATATTTTTTAGAAAATAACAAACAAATATTCAAGCCTTGAAATATTTCAACAACCGTCAACGAAATCAAAGTGTTCCNATGAAGCGAACATGTGCTAAGTGGTAGTTAAATCATTTCAATATATAAATACTATGGCAAATTACAAAAATAGAAGCAAATATATTAAAATATAAATTTGCATATTTTTTAGAAAATAACAAGCAAATATTCAAGCCTTGAAATATTTCAACAACCGTCAACGAAATCAAAGTGTTCAGTATTGGGCTTTAACGGCCATTATTGCAGTTTAGTGTGGCTTGTTCTTTTTTCTAGATATAACCAAAGCGTAAACCGCCGAAATCAGAACTGGAATTCAACAAATATTTTAACATAATTCAAGTTTTATAAAAGGAAGTCAACTCACATATTTACATATAACAGTGTTGCAAACTCAGCGATAGTAAAAATGTTGCACGTCTTACCTATAGCTTACGCGTTTTCATACAATTATTAAATGAAAGTACGCAAGAGATTTCAACTAACATTAGACTGTACGATAATTTTGAGCTTTTCAAGAGGTCTGTAAAGTGTATGTGCAGTGATCTGGGCTCCTGATTAGGCAAATGTATTCATTTTCATGTGTCAAGTCGATATTTTTTTATCGGGCCTTAAATAAATATAAAAAATGATAATAATAGAAGAAGNGCAGTGATCTGGGCTCCTGATTAGGCAAATGTATTCATTTTCATGTGTCACGTCGATATTTTTTTATCGGGCCTTAAATAAATATAAAAAATGATAATAGAAGAAAAAATATGTATCTATTTTTATGATCTTCGGCTTGTTGGAAAGGTATTAAATAGAAAAAATTTGGCGCTTTCCAATTTAAATTATATACAAATATCAATTGCATTTTATGTTAGAGTTCCAAAAAAATTTAAAAACAAATATTTAAAAACAAAAAAGTACTCCTTAATAATTTTCCAGTAAGCCTACGGTTTTTATAAGCATTTTTTATATACATATGTATTTCATGTCACCCCAAAATAATTCGATGTGACCAAACAAAAATAAAGACATCCTCGTAATCAGGAGGTCAAAGGGCACCAAACACATTTCAAACCTCTTGGATTTTTTTTTTTGCTGTAGTACCGTGTTATTTCTTTATACACAAGTTTCATTGGCTTAAATTAAAATTTAATGAGTTCCTTTAAGTGCTTTCATTTCTACATCAACACATAGAACGCTTCTTTAACGGCGACTAAGTTTAAATTTAAAACTATTCATTTAATTCTACAGTCTTCTAGCCTTAAGCGAAAAATAAATGCAATCGTTTTATTGTTGTGCAAAAAAATATATAAGTATAAATATTTACAGATAAAAGTTATTACAAGCAATGACAAGAACTGATTATAACTAACAATACAACAGTTTGATAATATAGTGAAGTAATGAGTCCAGAAAATATTTGGCCTTCAGTAAAAACTCATCAACGCATACAAAAAGCAATTCAAAAAATTGTTAAAAAATAGAATACAAAGCAGTTCGAATGTCGAGGTACTGAAATATTTTTTACACAAAATAATTTTGCAAATTTAAGAAATACAAATGTATGAATCGTTAACAAAATAAATATAATGAATATAAATATATATAACTGGTGAAAAGGGAAAAAACTATATGCTAATACATATTTATAACCTATGTATGTATGTCTAATGATAACCAAAAGCATATAAATATTTTGTACATTTTAACTTACAATTTATGCATGACGGTTACTTAAGTAAAATAGTGTTTTTTTTTGTTTTGAAATATCATGTGTGNAAGGGAAAAAACTATATGCTAATACATATTTATAACCTATGTATGTATGTATAATGATAACCAAAAGCATATAAATATTTTGTACATTTTAACTTACAATTTATGCATGACGGTTACTTAAGTAAAATAGTGTTTTTTTTGTTTTGAAATATCATGTGTATTTGTAATATAACTATGAGAAATTGGCGTTTTCGGTAGAATGTAAATTTTTTGCTTAATTTTACAGCTTTTAAGAGTACTTTTTTATCCCGCCTATGTGTACAGTTAGTTGAAGTTGTAGAATCTCACTCGTAACCGTTGAGAGCTTTCAAATCGCTTGCTTCCACAATTTACAATTTTAAAGTTTTCCGCCCCACTCTCTTTCGTTGCCGGTCGAATTAAATGTGCGCCTTACCGCCTACACTGGCGCTACTAACCACGTGATGCGTCTCATAGCCACTTGGACTGCTGGAGCGCTTCATTTGTGACAACGCTTGTGCCATAGTTGCCGCAGCGGTGGCTGTCATCAAGCTGCCGCTGCTTGTCGCATTATTTACCGCCGATGAAGCGCCACGCCCTCTCTTCCGACGCGGCAGTATACCCTTGCGTGCCATGTAGAAACGTATTGTCGAGACTGGTATGTTGAACATGTTGCTGACTGTTTGGAAGGTTTGTCCTTTCGAAACACACTTTGCCGCCTGCGCCAGCGACGCTTCGGAGCGTCGAATACGCTTCAGCCCGCCTGCCATTTCGCCAACACTACCCACACCAGGTGCACCGCTGTTCGCCTGTACACCCATCACGCTAAGTAATGATGCATTTGCCGAGCTATCGTGTTCATTGTCCGCGTAACTGCTGTCGTCATCGTGCGCTGCCACGTAGTTGTGGTCCTCTTCTACGGTAGAGTCGAGATGTGTGCCGGCAGCAGCTGCGGAAGCAGCTTGCGCTGCTTTCAACTTGCTGGCAGCAATATTCTGCTGCAATGTATATTTTTCGTACTGCTCATAGGCCTGATTGGAATTGGAATCGTCAGCCGACTCGTCCTCTTCGCTGGCGGCGTTTGAATTGGCGGCGGCCATGGCGGCAGCAGCCGCGTTCGCTACATGCGCCAGCGTTGCTTGCGGCACGCGTTGATGTTGTGCTTGCTGTTGTTGTAGCTGCTTCTGGTGCGCAAGCTGCTGTTGGTGCTCCAGGTGATTTTGTTGCATGGCATTATGCACGAGTGTGCCGTTGCTCTGCCGCTGCTGTTGTTGTTGTTGCTGATGCTGCTGTNTGCATGGCATTATGCACGAGTGTGCCGTTGCTCTGCCGCTGCTGTTGTTGCTGATGCTGCTGCTGTTGTTGTTGTTGTTGTTTTTGCTGCTGCTGCTGTTGTTGCTGTTGCAATAGTTGCTGTTGCTGGAGGTGATGGTGCTGCTGCTGCTGCATCTGCTGCTCTTGTTCAACTTCGTGCGGCGCAGGTATTTCCTTTTTTATCATAAATGTTTGTTGGTGCTGGTATTTTTGTTGTGGTTGCTGTTGATGGATTTGTTGCTGCTGGTGATGTTGCTGTTGTTGATGCTGCTGCTGCTGCTGCAGTTCATGCGCCATCATGGCTGCGGTCATGCCGCCGCCAGCGTGCAGCTGTTGTAGCGCGCTCGCGGCTGTTGCTGTCGTTGTGGTCGTCGAATTGGTGGCGGTATCTGTGTCGGTATCCATGCCATCCGCTTGCTGTTGTGTCGCAGCTGCAGCAGCCGCGGCTGCCTTATTTGTGAGCGCTTTCAGCTGATTCAAATTCAACGCGGCGTCCGAGCCATAGAGTCCGCGTATACGCAACTGTTCGGCGCATCGCAGCAGTTGCGGCAAACCAGCTTGCGTAACATTCACCTCGCCCTTGTACATGAAGTCGACCAACGCCTGTATCTCCCACAGTTTGATTTCGCTGGGCAATATGATGACGGGGTGTTTGCATGGATTCTCCGCCAAAATACTGTCGAAGTAGGACGAGCAGGCGGCCAAAACGAGCCGGTGGCAATGGACTTGATGCCCCTCGCAGGCTAAGGTAACATCAACAAAACGTTGTCCGGCTAGCAGTTGCGGGAAAGCGGCACCAATACTACCCAAATGGCTGTTCCAGCGCACACAAAACTCCTGACGCTGGGACGCGTTCATCCTGGCGACGGCGCTGGTGGGCGAACCACGCAATCAGATTCTGGTACAGGCGTTTCGACAGCTGGACGAGAAGAAATGCTTTTGTCGTGGTTAATTAGCTGTTGCACGTATAAATATTTTTTTTTTCAAATTTTCCCTTAGAATCTTCGTCGGCAAGTGGCCGGGAAGTACAAACTGGATTTGGAGTATTTAGGAAGCGCTAAGTAGTCGAATTTCAACCTTCGATGGATTTTGGAATGCGTTGCATAACTAAAAGGGATAAATACAGAAATTTTTAAATAATTAAGGTTAGATAACATTTACCCAAGTCAAATATTTTTTACTTAGAACTAGAAACTCAGTCTAAAAACTGGGTTTAACGCGTAGTGAAAATTTTGGATACTTTTTATAGCTAAGATAAGAACCCACATCATCAGAACTCCACCCCCATGATTTATAGTTGAAGTAAGATTTTTTTAACAAGTGCTGTATTGGGTCTTCTTCACATCGCGATTTGACCACCAGATCAGAAAATATTAAACTTATGGTCATCTGAGAATTATACTTGGTTGTTGTTGTTGTCCTTAAATATGTTTGTTTCGCTAATATCCCCTTTTAAGTAGTCTAGTCTAACCAGCACTATAGCCGGCCTTGGGTATGATAATCTTCTGGCGGTCATGGAATATTTTTCCCAAAATCTGGCTTAAGTTCTGCAGCAACCTACGTTGAAGTTATTTTCTGGATCTGCTTTGCCTTTTCTAACAATATACTTGCACTGGCTTTTTTTTTGTTTTAGGCACACTTTAGTAATTACCTCCGATTTCACTGAACTTTTTAAGTCAAAATTGAATTTGGGATTACAACTAAAATTACATACATAAATGTCAATACAGGAACAATAGGTCTGTTTTTCCATTTTGGGCGAGTTTCAGACAAACGAGCATAAGTATGAAATGCTCTCACAAAAGAGGAAAACTGCCCAATATCATGGGAACACAAAATTCCCAATTTGATGCCTGAAACTAAATGTCAAATCGTATAAATAACGCCGTCCGATACGATTTTGCACCCAAGAAATTTTTTTTTTTTTTTAAATTTTATTAAACTTTGTACCAAGGGATTTTGGGATTGCCGATTACGAATCTGAAGTAAATTTTTAAAAATTCAAAATAGCGGACGGATTTTTAAATAATCGACAGATTTCTGTGAAATTTTCTATCCAAAGGTTCTTTGAGTCATCACAAAACTGAAATCAGTTTTTACAAACTCAAGACGGCGGATGGATTAAAAAAAATATATATGTACGTATATATGTATATTGGATCCGTCATTTTTAAATTTTTGAAAACTGATTGCAGTTTTGTAATAAGCGACCCAAAGAACCTTTGGAAATAAATTTTCATAAAAATTTTAAAATTTTTTTAAAATCCATGCGCCATTTTGCATTTTTAAAAACTGACTCCAGATTCGCACTCTCTCAAGTTGTTTCTCACTAGCCCGCGAAAGAGCAAAAGAAAAAGAGATTAGGCAGTTTTGTGCACCTGCGGGCGCCAGTGAGTGAGCAAAAAGCGGACCTAACATTTTGAGGGATTGCGAAAAACATGCTCCCAGATAGTTGAAGTTTTCGAAAATATTCTGAGCGTGGCAAGATTTTTGTGTGATGATGGGAATATAAAATTTGTAATCATTAAAAAATTTTATTTTTTTTTGTTTATTTTTATATTTTATGAACAAAACGATTTTTTCTCGAACCTAATTACTTTTATTTCATCACTTTTCGGCAAACGTGATTAAAACAAGTAATTTTCAAGCAAGAAACACAACCGACTTCAATTTTCGTATAAAAATTTAGGAGCATCATTAATTTCTTCCAATCCAAAGATCGGATATAAACCAAATTAGTATGGGACCACCTTTCCGATAAAAAGAGAATCATCGAAATCGGTTCACGTGTTCGACAGTAATGCGGTACATTAAAAAATATTCCGACGATTCGATATATCGCTTATAAGCTCCTGTTTTTGAAGTCGGTTAAAACATATGTACATATGTATATTGTAAATTTCATGAATATTTTTATTTTTTAGTTTTTAAATACGGAAGAACTAAACATTTTAAAAGGCGCTCTTGACTAAAAGTACAGTTAACTCTTTTATTCACGTAGATATGTATGCATGGATTTAAAAATACTTGACAAGCATCTCTAAATATATTTTTTGTAACGCACACACTAACAGCACTTACATATACACGACCACACAGCGACTAAAGGACAATGAAGCGCCCAAAAATTAAGTATCTCTTCACTAAGTATCTATCACTAATATGCTTTCTGACCAAAAACCAACACTAAACTGTGATTATATATTCTAAAATAATAAATATTAAATTGAAATAAAAACACACCGTATAAAGACCAATTTTTTCTTAATTTTTTCTCCTACTACACTCCCAAGGCACAACCTTTCAACAGCAAAATTATTGAAAAATCCGTATGCGAGTAGCGAATTCCTTTTTTGCATTTAACAGAAAACGCCAAAAGACAAAGAAATACTGAAATGGAAAAAGTAATAAAATAAAAGTAGCAGCAAACATAAGTTTAACAACAGTGGCGACGATGGCGGCGACTGTGGCATCAGCCGCAGTTAGCAGCACAACGGCAGTGGCAGTATAGCAATCTTAACAACAAAAACAACAATAACAACAAAGCGGCAACGCAAATTTTGAACACTGTACTTTAGTATTTTTCAGCAGTGTAGAACGCAAAAACATTAAAGAAAAACAAAAGGAAAAACAGGCACATCCACATCCAATATGTTAAAGCGACCACAGCTAAGCATAGAGCCACCAACCAGCATGTGGCAGTGCATACAGCACAAGAACAGGCAGCAGCCGACACCAGACCAGGCCAGGCCACTCTCAGAACAACGGAGACGTTGTTGCTGACTCTGAGAGACAGCAAAGAATATATTAAAAATACAACATGCAGGCTATATGGAGAAGGTAAGCAAGACAGGCAGGCAGACAGACAGACAGGCAGGACTGGCATCCGACCGGGCCAAGCGAGTTTCAAGTGTAGAGAGAAGAGCACGAGCGCGCATACGCCAAAGTTGCTAATATATTTTTATGTTTAATGCTCGAAGGAGTAGAGCGCGACCAGTATGAGTGGCAAGCGCTTTTAATGGTGGTTAAACAACATTGATTGCGACCCGAAGACATTAATAAAACTACAATATGGCGCATAGGGAAAAAAATAATAAAAAAGTATGTAAGTATCTATGTACAATGTATGTACATCTGTATGAAAAGAACTATATATACATATTCTTATAGCCACTTAAATAAATTTGTCCATGTATGCGTGCAACAGCAGGAGTCAGGCCATAAAAAAAATAATGAACGAAAAGGAAGGCAAGTATAAGGCGTTGAGAAAAAAGTTTAAATAAATATGCTTAAGCACATTCCTTGTGGGACGATGCAGCAAAAACCGACGAGAGCTTAAAAACAGATTTAAAAAAAGAAAGCCACGACTTTCAGCGACCACAGCAAAGGCAACGCAGAAAGTGCCAACAGAAAAATATAAATAAATTTAAAAAAAATCAGTATTTTATGTATGCGTAGAAAAATCAAACGAAGGAGCACGAAGAAATCAATAAAAAAAGGTAAATTGCATTCGTACGAGTATGACACAGAGTAAGAATTACAAAAAACAAATATATATACATATATATTTACTATTCGCAAAACTAAATAAATTACACGAAAAATTATCAATTGATTGAATTTAAAATTTGTACGTTGTCGGTTAAGAAAAACATCTATGTATGTATGTATATGTACCTTCCACTACGACTTCTACACGATTTCGTCATATGCCACACAATAAAAAGAACAACGTGTGTTTGCAGTGTGTACATCCTTTACCTTGAATTGTTGACCACGAATAACCTTTGATTTGTATTAGCAACTATGTACTATACGCTCATGTAAACTTTTGTTGTTGCTGGAACAAATTAATGAGTTCTGTTAACATTTGTCGATCGCTTAGTTCATCAGGGTTATCAACCTCATTTAACGGTAGCCCTTGAAACTGGCTGTCTCGGCGGAGAAAGGCATGTTAGAAAAGGCGGTTTGACCCCATGCTCATAAATATGCTGGGTATGTCGGGGTTGATTCTCAAATAGTAAGGTTGTAACTTCCGACGATATCCAGAACGGAGTTGGTTTAAAGTAGGTGGATCTTACGGCGCAACTCATCGGGCGAGAATTAATCAGTATGCCTAAATAAGTGAAGCGTGGACTCCTTCAGACAAATTCATTCAGTATCTCCCCACTACTGAAGAAAGAAAAGTGGTAAACCGATCGGACTACCCCTTGTTGTGTAACTATTATCGGCTAAAATACTCGTATATCGGGCATTTCTTCGGGTCGGACGAACCATAATATTAAATTTAACACGACTTGAGCTTTGTCGGGTTGAACAAGGATGGAAACGGTTGATTAAAGCGAACTCAAATGCTCTTCGAACTTCTTACGGTGCTTGTATATCATTTGAGTAATCAGGTGAAGGGGTGATTGGTGTCGGCGGGCAAACCTACACAAGCCTGACATATGTATGTTTGGTATGTCGGGTAGGAGCCTTAATTTTTAAAGCAATTTTACAGACCTTAACTGGGGCAGAGGTACGCAGTTCTCTCGCGGCAGCTGAAGCTCTTTCGTCCGCTATAGGTGGTTATTTGGCTCGAATAACGGCATTGCCGACGCTGTGACTCGTTTTGGCAAGTCTAAAGCTTCGCCTACTGTGCCCAACTAATCCTCGGTAAGCAAATAAGCGACGTACAATTCAGAGCCGGCCGATAGTCTCTCACGATAAGTGTTTGGCTTGAGCGCCTCACTGAGTGCCGCAACTGCAGTTCTTTGATCTCGTTTTTCGCTTCCACGGATTCTGTGAAGAATTTGGACCCTACCGGTGTCAGTGCCAGGCCACTTGCTTTAAAAAACTTTGAATTTTTCTTTACAATTATTCGATTTTACAATAAAAATTATTCGGCAGCATGCAAGGAGCCAGCGTCGACAACCGTGATCGAAAGAAAACCCATTCGAAATTTCCTTTTGAGATACAGCACCATTACAAATTGTATTGGAGAGAAAACAGGTGCCATTTTACTTTAAACTATTCGAAATGAGTAATAAGTAACTTGAATTCGGATGCCGTGAAATGGGCCCATGAATACTTAAATTTTATTTGAGAATCTTTGCCATAGCGGAATAAAAGCTGAGATCACGTTGTACGCACAGCTTTATAACAGTTTCGATTGCATGACTGTTAACTATAACAGCTGTGGGTTTAACATAACGAAGATAACGCAAACTTTAAGCATAACCTTCCACGAGCTCGATTGTGATTTGTATGAGGTGTCTCACCAAAACTAGATAATTTTTATTGCAATCGATATATGTGTGTATGTAAGTATGTGTATATAGGTACTATGTAAAAAGAATAGTGCAAAATTCATGCAAGATGAATTAAAAGTGCAAACATTAAATGCTACACCCATGCTACCATTAAGGCCATACATATGTATATACATTAGGGTGGTCCTTAAATATAGGGAGTAAATTTTTACATAAGATTTCCTAAGCCTCAACCCCTGCGTCGATGCGACTTAAGTAGTATCGATTTTGGGTATTAATTTTTAGATTTTTTGAGTACATAGAGGAATCTGAACTTTGCCTTTGAACCCTTTACGACATGCCTTAAACGATTATGGTAATATCGATTTTGGGTATTAGACGAGAAAAAAAATTAATCTTAATTTGTTTAGTCTCTATAGTTTGCCCCCCTGTGCGACACACCTTAACCGTCTACAATCGGGTGAGACTGAAAAACATCCTTCATTTAATTTTTAAGGACCACCTTAATGCACATTTGTACATAAGTGAAAGCTGGATGTAGTGGATGAAATGTGAAACGAAATAGGAAATAAAAATAAAAGTAACAAGAAACTGCGTTCAACAAAAATAAACAAATGAAAATGGCACAGGCCCCACTCAGAGAGCATAAAACATAAAGCAATTGTGCGCACGCGAAAACGTGAGAACTAATAAGCAACTCTTTATTATCATAGTATTAGTAGTGCTGCTTTCAGGTTATAAGGGTGGTAATATTTGAATGCCAAATACGATTAATGATAACAAATTATACATTAAAGCGACCAAGCATATTGTACAAGTGCAATTACTCTGATAAATATTGTTGAAAAATACACCTCAAAAACTTTTTGGAATTGTTTTTGACTGTATTTATTTAATAGTCATAACATCGCAGTCTATTTATATCCTCATGTGCTTATTTTTGAACCACCATAATAATGTACATACACTTTCATAATTTGTCACCCTGACGAGGATTTAAACCAAATAATGCAAAAATAATAGGCGTTGAGAGCACACCACATTAACAAAAAAGGAAGGATGGTCACGTGCCTAAATCAAAAAAAAAAAAATTAAGTTGAGAAAATATCTTTGTTTCTTTACAGCTAATTACCGCTACCTGGAATGCGTTAATTAACCCAAAAATCTAGCAGAAACTTGCAGCGATCTCTCGTTCTTAAGCTTATCTTTTTTGGCGTCTCCTGCTAGTTCTTGTTAGTAAAAAGTAATAAACAGCGTTTCAAACGTAAACAAGCGAAATTAAGCAGTTTGCTTTTATTTGCTTCTTACTACATAGTTTTAGTATTATTTTAAGCGAATCGTTAAAAAGTGATCAAGTGTTGCCATTAGCGCACACAAGGGGTGGGTTTTGGGGTTCAAACCCCCCCTAAAGCTAATAACCTCAAATACAAACTGTATCTTAAAGCTAAGAATCCAGCTCTCAAGGAAATTATAAGAAATATTTATTATAATTTCTGTTGCTTGAAAAAGCGCTTTGCTTTTGCTGTCAATTTTCATGAGGAAATGAATATACGAGCATTTTTTTTTGAGAGCTGCAAACTGATTTAAGAAATTTTGGTAGAAAATTTCTTTTCCATTTCTCGTCCGTCGTTTTATATGAATTTTTCGTTTTTCTTGAGAGTTCAGTTAATTTTTTCGGTATTCGAAATATTAAAAAAATTTAGAAATCGTGAAAAATCACCATCTCTATCGAAAGCCAGAAACCAGAAATCGAAAAAAGGAACATAAAAGTGCAAAAATTCATGGAATCAATAAATTTATTTTTACTGAGTCTTTTTTAAAATTTTTTCTTAGGTACTTTTGAAAGTTGAGCGCATCTTGAGTTTATAGAACTTTTTATTAAACAAGTAGTTTTTAAGGAAAGAACACAACCGACTTCAATTCTCATATTCAAATTTAGGGGTACCGTTAATTTCTTCATGATCCAATCATCGGATCTCTAAAACAAATTACGGGACGAACCTTGAGGTACTATCTTTCTAATAAAAAAAGGATTATTGAAAACGGTTCACGTGGTCCAAAGTTATGTATTCCGGCGAGATGATAACCTCCCTTTTTTTGAAGTCGGTTAAAAGCGTTTGAGTTCTGTTAATATGTAAATAAAGTGCAGTTTATGAATTTTAAAACGTTTATTTATTTATTACATACTGTACATAAAACTTGCATAAATATATTTTAAAGAGCGTATTATCTGAAGAAAATTTTCAGTATTTTCCGGTGATATATCTTCAGAAATATAAACCCCCCCCCCCCTAAAATATATTCCTGGGTGCGCCCCTGAGTGTTGCAAAGCTTAGATAGTTGTGAATACTTTTGAAGGTTTCAGCGGCTAAAAAATCGTATTGATTTTTAATATATGCGCAAGACCGTTTTCGAAAGAAATAAAGAAAGTCAACGGGGGTTTTCCAAAATTTCGTAATTTATATATACAGTATTGGACATATCTATAGCACCCTCCTTTCAAAGCGATATTGTTCGCCACTTATGTTTAATTATTAGTTTTTAAGAATTTTCAATTAAAATACAGTTTATTCTCAAAAAAAACCCATATAAACCCAAGTTTTAAACTTTTTAAAAGACCGCAAAAAAGTGCAACAAATTTTTCATCGAAATTTCAAACTTTTTTTTCAGAAGCGGTAGAATTTTTTTGAATACACACTTTTATAGCCCATTCAATTTTGGTCCAATAATGTGCAAGTTTCAAGTCGCTAAAGATTACCGTTGATTTTTTAGAATTTTTTTTGTCTCATTTGCTTTAATATAACGACTAAACACAATTTATTTTTATATGGCAGAAACCCGCAACACCTTCAGCGAAAAAAATTCTAAACAATCAACGGTAATTTTTAACCACTTGAAACTTGCACATTATTAGACCAAAATTGAATGGGCTATAAAAGTGTGTATTCAAAAAAATTCGACCGCTTCTGAGAAAAAAGTTTGAAATTTAGATGAAAAATTTGTTGCACTTTTTTGCGGTCTTTTAAAAAGTTTAAAACTTGGGTTTATATGTGTTTTTTTTTTTAGAGAATGAACTGTATTTTAATTGAAAATTCTTAAAAATTA